TTTTTGGAACAGCAGCCATGTCTTTTACTCAAGACATCCCCTAATGCAGGGGTCAGGGAATTTTTTTACCTTTTAACCTCCAAAATATTTATATACACCAACATTACCCCCTTGATTTGAAATGAGGATCTTGATCATGCGCGGCCAGTAGAGTGCCGCCACTGAAGCCTTGCTGCCTGGGCCTGGGCCGCCTCCATTCTGCTCCTCCTCCAGCGGGCGGCTCCGGGGCGGCCGTCAAAGAGCAGCAGGTGGCTCGCCCGCCGGGGCTCCCCGACGTCTCCTGCTCTGGCACCAGCACCGGCGGCCACGTTGGGCCTCGGCGTCAGGAGTCCCACAGGCCTCACTGTCGAAGCAGCGCGTCAGCTGCCGCACAGAGGGTGAGAGGCTCCGCCAGGCCCAGCCACCCAGCGCTGACGGAAGCTGCATGGCCAGGTGAGCACCACTGTCGCCTGACGGGCTCCTCCGGGAACGGGGACAGGGTGTGGGGCAGTGGCATCCCAATGCTGGGAGGCTGAGCCAGGCCCGGGCCACTGCTGTGGCTGCATCCACCCCCTCTCTGCTGCTATCCACCTCTCCAGGCAGTGGAAGGAAAGGCTCCTCCTGGCTGGGACACTCTGCCATGGCCAGCCCCACCCCGCCACCACCGCCTCGGCTGCCCTATGCCAGCGGCTGGAGCCTGTCACCAGCCGCCATCTGCCATGGCTAGGTTGCAGGGTGGGAAGGAAGCGATCAGGCAGACGGGGATCTCCCCTCTGGGCAGAAGAGGAGGAAAAAGAGGAGGAGGAGGAGGGAAGGGGGTTAGGGTCACGTCCTCATTACCTCCCGGATTTTCATTTTTATCCCATTTGGGGTAATTTACCCCTGTTCCCTGACCACTGCCCTAATGTCTTGGTCTTGACCATCTGAGCTCACACAAGCTCCTGTTTCAAAGGTACCCAGGCAGCTGGTGGCAATTCAGAAGACCCCACTGATGCTGCCAACACTGCCATCTTGACTGCCACTGCCACTATCATAATGGGCACCACTGCCTTCATCATTTTCTGCTTTGATGTCTTCCCCCATAAGCGTTCCCATTTGGTGTCTGTGGACAAGTTGACATTTGTGTGTGTCTGTGTGCATGATACTCTTCAGCCTCTCCTCTGTCCAGCCTGGATGGGCATATTGTCAGACCAATTTGAAGACAAACTAAAAAGGAAAGTGACCTGAACACCAATGGTCACAAACATTGGCTTTTCCTCCAAGAAAGAGAAATGAACAAAAAAATCAGGTGGAATGCTTTGGAGCTAGGTAATTTGCCTCACTCAGCCTAAGGACAGGACTGGCATTGCTCCTTTCCATTTACTGAAGCTGACAGGACTGGCATTTGAAATGTACTTAAAGATCAGTGGCAGGACTGCCTTCTGACCTGGAAGGGAGAGAAGCAGCCTGGTTTAAGGGGCACAGCACAGAGCAAGCTGGGTAACGCACATATGATTAATATGCAGACCAGGGCAGGCAACATACACCCATATACTGGCCTGTAAGGGTCACTGCTCCCACCCATGCACCATGAAAATTTAGCGAGAATGGTGATTTAAAAAAATGCCATGTCCCCATTACGTAATTCTGCCATTGTATGAACAAGATTACCCCTCCTGGATGCACACCTTAACATGGTGAGGGGGTTTCAGAATGTCAAGGAAATTGACAACGGTGCTATCAGGATGCTAGGCTCCATCATGAGTCTGGAATTCTAGTAGTGACTCTAGCTTTCTAGCTTGGACTCAAGGCAGAATGGTCAAAGCCAAAACATCACACAAAGATGCATCCACCCTGTTCAGGAGTCACAGTCACATCAGCAGAAGGGAATGGATAGTTCCAGTGGTGACAGAGGAAGAGAAACTTCTGGAGGGCAGCTACTGGGCAGCAGAAGCAGTAGTCGAAGGTGATGCTGGCAAAGGATGTCTCACAGACAACAGCAGAGACACTCAAACTAACTAACGAAGGAATTAGGAAAGATCATCAAGTGTAAGGATGTGTCACTGGAAACCAAGGCCAAGGCCATACACACTGTCGCTTTTCCAATCACCATGTGTGGCCGTGAAAGCTAGACAGTGATATGAAAACTTTTAATTAATTTGAAATGTGGTGCTGGAGGAGAGCTTTGCATATATTCTGGACTGACAGAAGGACCAACTAGATCAAATCAAACCTGAACTTTTCCTTAGAAGCAACAGACTGTTGAACTTTGGGCCCATCACGGGAAGATAAGACTTGCTGGAAGATAAAATAAGATTGGGGAAAAACTGAAGGCAGTGAAAAAAAAAGAGGAAGACCAAATATGAGACAGATTAATTTCACAATGAAAGGCATGGTCTTGAGTTTGTAAGAGCCAGCCAGGGCTGTTAATTGTATGATATTCTGGAGGTCACTCAGCATCATAGGGATGCTGTAAGTTGGAGACAATCTGATGGCACATAAAAACAAGGGATGAAATTCATCAATGAGGTAGGAAACCTTAAAATTAGCACATTATTCTTAAATCAATTAGCTCTTCTGGAAGCCTCCCAGAAGCCATATTTGTGAGGGCACAATATTTTCCAACATTTTCTTCAACAGTAGAATGCAAGATAGCAGAAGAAGAGCTGGAAAGGGCCTCCATTTGGCTCACTTCAAGCATTCCAATATTCCCTCACCAACTCTCCAAGCATGAGCAACCTAGCTAAGATCACACAGTTATTTTTACTTACAACAGCCTAGTTAAACATCTTTGCAGGAACATTCTTTCTGCACAAGGTTTTCTATATACAAACAGCGGCAGTGTTTGCCTCATCACACGTCTTCCAAAAGGCCAGAGGTTATGAATGTTTTCATTTATTCATTAGTGTTCCATCTTCATCAAACGATTTCTCACACCTCTACCGCCCAACACCTTGTTCACAAATGACCTGATCAAATTACATCAAGGGATAATAAGGGTTTACTGACTGCTTTTCAAAATTAAAAAAAAAGCAAGGGGAGAGCAAGGCTTCTTTGTGTGATTTGCTAATTGGTGGCCTAGAATTAACTCTGCCTAGCCTCTTCTTAATTAGCAGTGGCGGTTGTGGGGAGTAGAAGGATTATAATAACTCCCAAGTGAACTTGACACCCTGACTCCTTCAGAAGGGTGTCAGACTGCTTCCACTGCAACAAGCTGGTCTGACAATAGTCTGTGGGGGTCCAGGCTGCAACCAGAAGAGTCGCTCCAATAGCATATTTTCCTAAACATCAGGTTTATACAGAGCTTTATACGTTCCTTTTAAATATTGATTGGCTCTTCCTGTTTAAGGTAATTTCAGTGCTGAATTGTACTCTGCTCTCATTACTTGTTACAATTCTTTATACCAATCAAGTAAAGTTATTCCTACTTTTGCAAGGTAACTTCAGTCAGCAATATTTCAAAATAACTTGTAATAGGTAACTACATTACCAATAAAAATGATTTCCTAACTCTGTTTTTTTAATCATTTAAAATGATAATAGTTGTCAACAAGGAATCCTGAGACTTGCACTTGCGAAGCATATTGACAGCCTAACTCCATATGATGCTAAATGGCTGAAATCCTGTTGCTTAGTGTAGCAAATTCCAGCTAGAGGAGGTCCACTGAATTAGTGGTGGTCTGGTGAGTCAACCAACTTCTCTGAACGTTCTATTGATTCAGTGTCCTACTCTATTTGTGGCTTACTATGCTAAGCAATAGGATTTCAGCCAATCATATTAGGATCCAGTCTCATAGTTATAAGGAAAGGGAAAGGAAAGAAAGCCTGGCTGCTTCTAGACATCTCTCTAGCTTTCTCTCTCACAGCAGAGATAGTAGGGTGATCAGTGCCTCATTGCCAAAAAAGAGGGGAGATATCACCAAAAAGGAGGACATGGAGGACTGCATTCTTCACCAAAAAAAGGGCATTGCACATTAAATCTGAATCTGCTCATTTAAATTAATATATGTGCATTTCATCACAAAGACGTTACTACTATAATTTAAATGCTCACCTTATTGGACAGGATGGTGACAATGTAACCACCTTGGGACACAGCACAAAGATGAAGATGGGATATAAATCAACGCACTGGAGATCTTCCTTACTGCCTGACTTGAAGATATGTTAAACTAGAAGACACTAGAGATGGAGATTGGTGGCCCCGACTGTATAGAAATCCCTCCTCAAAGATGTGTGGTTGTCCTCCACAACTGTCATATTTTAAAGAGTCTGAAAGCCCAGATAATGCTTTCTTCCTCACAAATCTTTAATTAATGTGTTATTCTCTAGTGGCTGTGCAATTTTTCCCACTTGGCTGAATTATACTTTAGACTGTTGTTGCTTTTTTGTATTTTTGAAAAAAAATGTGATGTGTTGACAATTAATTGTGATACCCGCTCTGTCTTCTTCCACCGTTCTGATATTTCATTTGAACAGAGAGGATGGGGAAAGCTACCACTCTCAGAAACTCTCAGCCAGTATGACAGTGGCAACGTTGCCTTGACTGCTGTGGGAGCTGTAATCCAGAAAAAAGTAGCTTTTTTTCAGAAAAAACCCTACATTTTGATACACAGGGTGCAGCACATCTTTGTCTTTTAAAAAATTATAAGGAAACAGCCCTTGAGATTCAGAACCTCAGATTCTATTCAAGTTACCAACTGGCTAAGGAAAAAGAGACCGACCGACTGACCGACCGACCGACCAACCAACCAACCAACCAAAACAAAAAATCCAGAAGAATTGATTGAACTAGAGCGCTTTTCAGAATTATAACATGAAAACATGACAGCTGGAACCTAGCATTTCTGATGCTTTAGATAGACGATATGGAGGCTTGGCTTCGAACTCATGGACATATACTTTAAAACACATTTCCTTGTGTACATTCAGCATAGTATTGGAAAACATGGCTTAACAAAGTGAGGGCTGCTGAACACTGCAGTCATTCATGGAATTTTAGAGATGCAAATAACAATGGTTACGCCGTATTCCTTCCTTACTTTGCTTTGGTATGCCCATTCCAGCAGTCTTCCTCATTTGACAGACCAGCTGTCACTCTTTCTTCTTTACATATACTGTAGGGTAATGTTGACCAGAACTTTTTGGACAGCTTCAGTTTTTCCTTAATGTCAATTACCTGATGAAAAGACAAAAGAAGAATGTTTTGTTAAAAGGGTGAGAAGCTATGTTCTTTTAAAAATGGGAAACATCATTCTGGATGATGGTGGTAATTGAGAACCCCAAAAGGAATATTTACATCCCATGGAAGCAGTGGCATGCTAGATAGTCCCTGGAATCAGAGCCCTCCCCTTCTGGAGTATTTCTCAAGCTTGAGACTTGCAGTGAACACATGCTATCTTTGGGGTCTTGCAACCAATGAGGGCACTAGAAAGACATTAGGAATAAGGACCCTAGCCATGCTACTCATCTTTTCGGTCATTGTACTCAAAAGGCAATGCCTGATTTTTTTCCTGTTGGGAATTTTAGTTGCAACTTCATATGCTGTCTATAGCTTGTGTGATTGGGAGGCACTTTTATGGGCTGAAGTGATTGTCCATTTGTCCAGAACTAACCAATTGTTCCTTCCAGCCTCTGAATTCAAAGAGAGACCCACCTCTCTGCTGGGTGTCTCTTTCCCTCTCTTTCTTCTGTTGGTGGCAGTTGTTTTGTTGCTGCTTACCTGTTCAGCTGATTGCTAAATACATGTGCAGTAAAGAATGTAGCTTGTACAAGCCTGTAATTTCAAGCAGCTGTAAGTAAAGAAATGTTTGTATTCTTTCTTCTACAAATGTCTCAGAGGGAGTTATTGAGGCTTTAAGTGTCAGTTAATGAGAAAGAAGTGGACTCTGGATAATATGTGCCTATTTCTCCTCTGGGTACCTGTACTTCTACTGCAATGCAAGTGAGAATTTTACCAGAAATTCAATAGTCTGCAAGAAATGGGCCCAGAGACCAAAGAAACAAACAGATACCTGACAAGTATTTTTGGGGTTTTGTTGTTTTTCAAAGTGTTTGTGTTTCTTCTTCCCTCCCCTCCCCTCCATGACTACTGTATAAGCAAAAGACATCTTATAACTGGCAGAAGTTGTGGTTTCTTTTCTGGGATTCCTAACCAAACTTGTTCAGAAATGGATAGAGAAAAGAATGGACCTTCTTGATCACAGGAAGGTATATATATATTTTTTGAAATCTCCAAAGTTAACATCTCCGAACTTCTCTTAATGGAAAGAGAAGCCGCAAAACGTGGTTGTTTAAAAGCTGGGACAAGTCATTGTACACACCAGAAAAAGGAGGTGGCAGGGAGATGCAAGCTGAATCAGTCCAAAATAAACAAACCCCTGCCAGTTGTTCAAAAAGAAACAAATTGCCCCTCCCAAAATTGCAGACTTCCATTTCATTAGCTGTTTGTTGTGCACCTGGGGAAAATACGTTGATCCCAAGTGTGGAAACTCTGATGTAAAAAGGAAAGTGGGATGCTCTATAGCTGGAGCACCAGCCTTGCTGCAACCTTTGACTGGAAAAAGACGGCAAGCATTTCAGATTGCCATCTTATGCCCACCCACCTGAAAGCAGGCCCTACTAAAACCAAGGGGACTTACAGTGGACCCTTGACTTACAGACGGCTTGACTTACAGACTTTTTGAGTTACAGACTTCCCTGGCTGCAAAAGTTAGGTTTGACTTGCAGCCTGAGAATTGACTTACAGACCAGAAAAAAACCAAAATGGAACAAAAACGGCCTGTTATGGGATTAATCGGTTTTCAATGCACTGTAGGTCAATGGAGACTTGACCTACAGACTTTTTGACTTGAGAACCCCCTTCCAATACGGATTAAGTTCTCAAATCAAGACCCCACTGTATATTTGAGTTGGGTCAATGCTTCTTGTGACTGTCTTGAGGGAAATACATTATAATTGCAACAATCAAGGGAGGCTTCTATTTGCATGAGAAACGGAGGTAAACAAATTGATGCAGAAGAAACATATAGTACAAAGAGTACCCTTGGAAGAGCAAATTGTGATTGACATCCCCAGCCTGCATTAACCCCCTAAACCTCCAGTTGTGCTAACAAACAGAGAAAGAATTCATAGAGTTTGGGTGATAATAAAATAGGACCAGGGAGAAAGAGGTCCACTATCTCAAGTTCCTTGGACAAAGGGCAGGAAGTAAACATGAATAAATATTTCTACATTCTTAGCCCACTATAATTTATAGGTTTCTGACCTAAGCACTTTTCTCACAAAGTGGAATGAAACTGAGATTTGTGGGGAAACATAACATTAAGGGAAAATTGAATTCCCTAAACTTTATTCTTTAAAATCAAAGAAGGGGGGGGGAGGGAATCCGTTGGTTTCATTGAGTTTAAGGCAGCCTTTCAGTGGTTATGGTATTTCTGTATCTGTCCATCACTTTCATCTTTTGCTCTGAAGAAAACTGGGCCTTTATTCCATACTAGCTCTGCAGGCTTCAAAAACTGTGGGAAATTATAGAAACACCTGAAAATAAGGGACACATTTGAAGTATTATGTGGATTTTTTAAAAAAAGACTCCTGCAGTCCTCTATACATAGAAAAGTACTAGGTATTCCTTAATAGGGTTGCTAGCCGAGTAGGCTGACAGTTTTAATTAAGTGTATATAGATGTGTCAATATATCTGCCCTCAAATGACTTTATGAGATGCATGCACCATTCTAAACCTGCCTGCAGTGGTTACACTGACCTTGTGCACATCTTCTGACATTGTCGGATGCCGGCATATTGTAACCGTAGCTCTTCTTTCATGCTTGCCTCCAACCATTCAATCAATGTATGGAGAGTATAAAGTTTTAGACAGAGTCTCACAATTTCCACTCCCTGGGCTGCAAGATAAGTACTGTACTCTTTGTTGGATACCCTTTTCATGCAAGGGCTCATTATGATATATTCCACAAATGTAAAGTTGTACACATGTAGAATGTATGGAGGGCTGCCTTAGGATAAGTCACCACACACACACACACACACACACACACACACACACACACACACACACACACACACACACACACACAGAGAGAGAGAGAGAGAGAGAGAGAGAGAGAGAGAGAGAGAGAGAGAGGTATATAGCGTTTATACTGTACAGTATATAGGGCTTATTGTGTATTTGTGATATTCACAGCACTCTCAGTGCTTGGTCGTGTTGATTCAAAGTAAAGCAACTTTCTATTGGTTTTCATCTGGAGGAAATGATACCAAACTAGAAGCTCAGTCCTCTCTACTTTAAAGCTAGGTACGTATTTTAACTATTAGTAGAAATTTATTGTAGAACAATAAAAACATTTGGTTGTTGTGGGTTTTTTGGGTTCTTTGGCCGTGTTCTGAAGGTTGTTCTTCCTGACGTTTCGCCAGTCTCTGTGGCCAAAGAACCTGAAAAACCCACAACAACCATCAGATCCTGCCCGTGAAAGCCTTCGAGAATACAATAAAGACATTTACTGCCTTTTTTTCACCCTTACCTGCTCCAGACAGAACATGCAGCTCACTGCCTGCTTTAGGTTGGGGGCAGGGATGGTTGGCTGACTCACCCACCCTAATATGGGCCCTTTGTGGAGTCTGGGGACAAGTTCCAACAGCTATGTGAACTTAGAGAGAAGGATAGCCTCTACGATCCTGCCTCTTCCCAGGTCTTTTGGTTGAAGGCATGTGGGGGAAACAAGTGACGAGGGTTTTTATTATATATTCTGAAGCTTTGCTTTATGGGCTAAGGTTGCCCAATATTTTCTTGTTCAGCTGCAGAACTGGATTTAAATCATGACAATAAAGAGCTCACATGTTTTTCAGTAGCTCACATAGTCAAGAGCGTTAGGAGATACCTGAAAAGTTGTTTGACATAATTTATGGTTTACATTGGTTATTGTCCGGGAACCTTTTGGGATAGGACTTCTGGCCTTTACAAATATCTGACTGGAACCAGAACTGGAAGTAATCATCAAAGCCCTGTGCATTATCCCTCAATGCATTTCTGTGAGCTACAGTGGTTTTGTCTGAGAAAATGTAAATGGGAAGTACTTATTAGATCCTGTGAGTCTGGTTTAACAAGGGCAAACACACCCACACCCACAAGTGAAATAATAATAGAATCACAATTGTTTTGAATAACTCAGGTCTAAATTTAGAGAAGACTCATTGAAATTAATGGAATTTAATTAACATACATCCCACGGATTTAACAGCTTTGCTCTTGATATGATTAAATCTGTATCTGCCCCAAAAATTATTTGCCACCTAAAAACCAAATAGATCTAGGCAATTTACAGATTTTGAAAACAGCTTAAAATGAACTAAAATACAAACACATGGTCTAAAACAAACTAAATCTTAAAACCCAAATAAAACCAGATAAAAATACAGTAATTACTGGCAATACATTATCACTGATCAACTCCATAGCCATGGTTGCCTCAAGAGACATTTTGCCCTCCTCTCTCACAGTAGTGATAGACTTGCCATTGCTCTCACCACATGGTGAGTGTCTTCTCTCCTTGCACCCTCCTCGTGGAGGATATGGAGCTTATTAGTAATATAGCTGCAAATATCCTGATTAACTCACTTTTCATTTAATTGAGCTGGCAACTCTCATTATGCAAAGACCATCCCAACTCAACTAAACATTTGGGCCTGATCAGGACATTTTACCAAGACATAGCAGCCATAGTGGACAGACATAACAGCCCTTGAAGACAGTTTCCTGACTATATCTTATGTTCCTGTGAAACGTGGGATATTTTTTAGTGTTTGCTCAGTTTGTGTGGAGAAATGCTGAGGTCTGACATTTCTTGAATCCACATGCCACTTAGAATATGTCCCAGAATTCTGTGCCTCAATCAACGGTTGCTAGGTGAAGAGCACATCTTGCACACAGAAGTTATATAAACTTCTCTGTCTCTCTAAACGTAGTATTAGAAAAAATATGCATTAGAGACTCGGTTAGAAGAACTAAGCCTGCAATATGAAAACATGCTCAACTGATTTTAATAATATTTCTGTATAAAGCAACAACGTTCCTCCTCCATTCTATGATGCTGTGCTGACTCAAATGTTTTGCTTTTCAAGAGCTATTGCTTCCTTTGTTGACGAGAATAATCTTCTCCACTAGA